TGGTATTAATATTTCTTTGATTATATGACAGACTTAAGTGTTCCAGGACTTTGATATTTACATGTAATTAGTAGATAAAGCTTATTTCAGCAAAACTATAATGTTTTTGCATGCCTCAAAATAAGAAAAAGAGTATTAGACAACAGCCTGGGGTAAAGTCTAGATTAGCCAACTGTTGAAAACATCTTGGTGTTGTTAAAAAAAAAAAAGACCCTGAACTCTAGAGCCACCAAAACTTCTGTAACATATCTCACATTTTAGGATAGTGACATTCAACAGAAGGAAAACAAAAAGCTTTGCTTGTTTGTCACTGTGAGCTATTATTAGACTGTTTATATGATCAACGGAAATAGACATTGAGGATCATCAGCATTGGTGAGATAGCCAAGAAATGATGCTGTGGCTTACTCTGTGTAGACGCAAAAAAAGGCTTTTAAACAGCAACTCCATTTGCAGAAAGAAAAAAAAAACTCAGAAAGCCTCATTCTGTCTTCTAAATTACTGTAATTCATGTTTGAGACTTCTTTGGAATTCAGAGTTAGTAATATAAAAGATTGATGAGCAGCCTGTCAGTTTCCCTAACAGGCAAAACACAAGTCAGGCAGGAAAAAAATCCCCTCTGCCGACTGGTTGCAAAGACAATACAGTACCCTAATGAAAAGAACATGATGAAAACAGGCTGCTGGGAGCTGTATCTCTGTGAAAAAGCAGCCATCATCAAACACCGCTATTTATTATCCATCTATTTGGAGACGAGGTGAGAGAGAAGAGTTTCTCCTCAAAAACCTAAATAGATTTTAGCACAGTAATAGAGGGCTGCAGTTTTTATGAAAAAACAACAACAACAAAGCAATATCATGCTATGATAAAATGTCGACTAGGAAAAATGTGTTTGTTCTTGACATAGGATTTGGGTGGTCCAATCTTCAGCTAGCTCAAACTATGTGTTAGGAAAACCACCGCAGCACGCTGATACTGTGCTGAGGTCGCCACTTCACATGAGAAATGATTTTATTATGATGGACTTCCAACCACAAAGGTTGTTTCTAGTTAATTAGAGCTAAATGCATGCTTATCTTACTCCCTCTCAACCTCTAATAAACCTTTTCAGTCTATGCAGCCATGACTGCTGCAGAAATCTAACCTGAAGTTCAAACAGAACCCATTATTTCTGAGGGAAGACTTCCTAAATACCGCTCTATGTCTGAACACTTTTATACGACGGAGTATTATGGCCAGGCTAGAGATTTTTTTTTTTCAATTTGAGAATAAAGTCGTAATATTATAAGAATAAAGTCATAAAATTACAAGAATAACGTTGCAATGAGAATAATAGATAAGCGAGGGGAGAATCAGAAGGGAGATAAATAGACAGACTGGTGCGGCTGCTGCTATAATGAAGACCTGTACCGGTCTGTTATGGCAAAGAGAGAGTTGAATGAAAAGGAAAAGCTTTTGATTTACCGGTCAGTCTATGTTCCTACGATCTGGAAATCTGGAACACCGAAAGAATGAGATCCCGGATACAAGTGGCTGGAATTAGCTTCTCCCAGGGTGGCTGGGCTTTCCCTTAGAGATAGGGTGAGGGGGCTTGAAGAAGAGCTGCTTCTCCTCCACATTGAAAGGAGTCGGCTGAGGTAGCTAGGGCATGTTTTTCAGATGCCCTTTTGACACCCCCCTCAGGAAGTGTTTCAGGCATGTCCCACTGGGAGGAGGCCCAGCGGACAACCTTGGACATGCTGGAGGGTCTATGTCTCTCGGCTGGGGGCGCCTCTGGCTGGAGGAGGTGTCTGCTGAAAGGGAAGTCTGGGAGTCTCTGCTGAAACTGGGCACACACTACGATTTTTTCAATCGTTGCACGCAGCTACAGCTCACACTGTACGTCGAATCCGCAGGGTTTCGTCGTACAGTGTGAGTTCACAGCTCACGATCTATGTGTAGCACGATTCTCTCATGCGATCTACCTGCTCACACTGCGTGTCTAAAAACCACGTCGGACTCAAATCCACAGTGAGATGGAGCTACTCTGACTCGTCTATCTGGATGCCAAACAAATAGAAGGAGAAAATAAAGCTCACTAGAGTGAACTGTGCTGCCTTGACAATTTGTGCAATTTTGTGCTGAAAGCCCTAAAAAGAAAAGACGACGACGTATTTGGACAAAGACATGGCTACTAGGGTCTGTCAATTTTACAGAAAGAACTCCATTTCACTCATTGCACCCCCGCCATGCTTCTGTGTTTACATCTGAGAGGAAGAAGAAAAAGAGGAATCCTTGTTTGCACACTGAGCGATTTGACCTCACGATTCCTAATCGGGAGCTGGTTATCAGAGGCTGATTGTCCCTCGTTACCCCCTATACACTATATGACGCATGATCAGGCTGAAAGTTGGCCCGATCGGAAAATTCTAACATGACTAGAAAATTGCCCCGAAGAGGGCAAAAAAAAAATCGCACAATGTAAGCTCGGCTTAAGACCGCTGCCCAACGTGATTTTTTCCTGCTAAAGCGAAGATGACGAGTATGAGTAACAATGGAGTAGGGGTTACCTATTTAATAATGTACTTGTAAAACAGTTCAAGGGTATTTGAAAAAAAAAAAATCTTTTTAATTATTACTCACATTCACCTAGCTTTTATAATTTTTTTTTTTTTTTGGGGGGGGTCCTTAAGCTAAATGGGTTGAATAAATTCTTAAAATAAAATAAAAATGTGCAATTCCAGAGCACTAAAGTTATTAAAATCTCTACATAATCTCTACATAATTTAAGATTACATGTTCTAAACATGTGAATGTGAATTACATGTTCTAAATATGTGAAACATGAAGTTTCACATATTTAGGGAAAAAGTCTCCTTTTGAATTGAATAAGAAATGTTTTCCTTTTTTTAATTACTGTTTTCACTTGTATTATGTATGTTTTTGTTTTTCTTGTATTTATTTGTTTTGGGCTTTATGGATCACACTGCATATAAGCTTTTTACTTCCTCCTAATGTTGCTCTGCTCTGTCTCTATCACGAAAAAAGGTCTAAACCAGCTATATTTAATTTATTTAAGACATTCACTTCAACAGTGACACACATTACCATGGCTCCGGAAATCCTCCTCGAAGTAGTCCCTGTTCAAGGCGAACTCTGGCTCTTCTGTGTAACTGTACAGCTCTGCAGAAAACATAGGAAAAACATTTTTGAATATTTCTGGCAAATCTATTAGCTTTTGTGCCTTTGCAAATGATCTGTTAAAAAATTCAAGTCTGGACTTCAATCTGAATAATTAAAGGTTGGTAATGCTCGAAAAAACTAATGCGTCTGATAAAGAAGACATGTAAGCCAAACCCTCCACAGGGAGTGAGAGACTCATTAAAGAAAAATGTCTTTATTGCTTTTAAAGTTAGTTTCAGCATTTGACATATTTAATTATGATAAAATAATAACTTAAACGGAGGAAATATGTAAGGTAAGAAATATTTTTTCATGCACTGTGCATAAACTACAAATAGAGATTTTCACTTTAATCTGCCCTAGTAAAAAAAAATTATCAGTGAAAGCACCGTAGCTCAGTGCTACCATGTTGGCAACAACAGCACCATTTTATGAGGAAGCTTGAAAAATGTCTGATGTAAAAAAAAAAAAAAATAGATGCTAAGGATGAAAAAGAATGCACTATTATTTATAGTATTTAATGCCTCATTTAATTATCATGTCAGGTATTTGTAAGGTGTTTAGTTAATTTTAAAGGATTAACTACTACTACAACCTTTCATTGCTTTAAGATAGCAAAACCCTGTTAAGCACAGAGCTAACATTCAAAGTAAGTTAGTTTATTCTGATCAAATATAGAGGAAGGAAATAATCAGATGGATGGAAACAACTGCTCACGAGTTTAAATGTAGTGTTAATTAAAACCAATGAGGGCAGAGCAGAAAAGAAAACATCCCAATTACTTAATTATTATCACTTTTTACACTGAAATAAGCTGTTGTTTCTTTAAGATGACATATTTTGGTTGGTTGACCCCAGAGGCTTGAATTCCTCCATGTTTGTTTCCCTGCTTCATCCAGCCTCTCCTTTCCCACCTGTCTCAGCCACACACATATATTCTGTTTGGTTCCCTCAGATATTTTTTCTCCTCTAAGCAAATCATCATTCTAATTCTTTAGCTCCTCCTAATTGAAAATAAACTCACCTTTCAGGTAAAGCTTGTCAGATTCCTAAAAGAGGCTAATTAAAGCAGGCTCTGTATCAAAAAAGTCCTGGCTAGACTGGTGTCTAAGAGTAGGAGTCTTGACAGCATTAAAACGAAAAAAGGTCTTAACCTCGATCTCTCTCACTGTGGATCACCTCTTTTCTGTAGACATCCATCTATTTGTCACAATGTTGCCCATCTTCGTCTGCTCTCAGAGCTCTTTTCATTCTCTGACCCTGAGGATATGAGCCTGTGTGACTGACTGCAGGCACACCAAGGTGACTAAGAATCCCTTAACTGTCTGCCATGATCTATTCACAAGGATGATCATCGTGAATCAAACATGTAGGCAACAAAATACAAACTGGTGCTGGTTAGAAACCTAAATTAGTCACTTAAAATTAACTCTCATGATCAAGATCAGTCAGAACGATGCTGCAAACTGCAAACTTTTAGTCCTACCTGAGAGCTCAGCTGTGAGGGTGTCCGAGTCTCCATACTCAAACTCCAGGTTTGGAGACTCCATGGAGCTCTAAGGAAAACAAAGAGAAAATCATACATTAGCACATTATAAATCATTCTGTACCGTAAATTATCACTTAAAACTAAAATGTAATATGTAGAGGATACTGGTCCTCAAAGAAGAGTCTAGGAGTGACTCCCTACCCTTTTTTCCCCCTACTCCCCCATCTTCCCCTTCCTGTGTTTTGTCTAAGTTCAATAAAAATAAAACAAATTTAATTTACCCTCCTCAGTTACCTAATTAATGGTATACAGTTAACTATGATGCACATATCCAAGCCTGCCAGGTGGCAGTAATTAACCTAAAATTTAATTGTGAGATATAAAAAATGAATTAACAAAAGCTCCTAATAGTGGTGTTCTCCAGTATTCAAGAATAAAAAGATATATGTATACTCAAAAATGTAATCCCGGATTGGGCATAATACACCTGCATTAAATTCATCATATATTCAGGTTTATATCTTAGCGGTGTCCTGATACAACTTTTTTATTTCCGATAAAATACGGGTATTGCAGCTTTTCGAATTGGCCAATACTGATATTGACTTGATGTGATATTGGCACAAACCATACAAGCTTTTATTACTTATTTTATACCCCAGAATGTTAGAAAAGGCTTGATACATTTATATCTTACTAAAACAGGGAACAAAAGTGAACAACAAAAGTATAAAAACAACTGACTGTTGTAAAATTAACCAATGGGTTACAGAAACCGTTAAACAGAAGCACAGTGTGTCTATCAGCATGAAAATATCGGACATTTTAGGTGCAGGCCAATATAGTCCGATCTCAGTTTTTTGGCTAATACCTGGCCGATCGGGACTCCCTAATCACTATCATCCAGTGTCGGTCCATCCATTTTCTGTCATGCTTATGTTTTGAGGTGCTGGTGTCTATGTGCAGCTGTCAATGTGCAAGAGGCGGAATACACCATGGACAGGTCGCCAGTCTATCGCAGCACAGAGACAAACAACCATTCACACACACACTCACACCTAGAGAAGACAATTAACCTAACAGTTATGTTTTTGGACTGTCGGAGGAAGCCAGAGTACCCGGAGAGAACCCACGCATGCTCAGGGAGAACATGCAAACTCCATGCAGAAAGGACCAGGAATCGAACCCAGAACCTTTCTTGCTCTAAGGCAGCAGTGCTACCTACTGCGCCACTTTGCAGTGTGCAGAGTGAATAAATAGAGGGTCATATCGGATCAAAAGTTGTCCCATCAAACAATATCTGGGTCAAGTGTTGAAGAACCAGGACACTGTGATGACAAATGGGCAACTTGAAAATGGAACTATTGGAATAAGGTACTTCTGGAATGTTACTGCTTCAGCAATCCTTGGCACTGGGTCTACTTGAAAAGACAGTGGGAAACATGGATGCTTTGATGCCCACTGTCTAAACTGACAGTGAAACATCTAGTAGTTCAGTGTTCCAAAATCCAGAAACGTCAGCTTCTTTCACAACTAGAGATCCAGGAAATACAACACATGAACACTTGGAAGAACCTCAGAAGATGAAGACCCCAACCAACCTTTGTCCAATAACCTGTCCGTGATATGGAACTTCTGTTGGGCATCAAAGCAGCTAAGATAAGTGGGAACATGGGTCAACACATGACAGAGGTGTGGAAAAGCATTGGTTAAAACACCAGAGGAGCCAAAAACCAACTGCTAATTAACCAAATAGTTTCTCAAGACTGCAAAGTAGAAAAACAAACCTATGCACAGCCTGGGTTAATTACAAGAAAGCCTATGACTCAGTACCACATATATGGATCCCGGAATGCCTGAAGGGTGTTTTCTAACCCAAGACGCACAAAAATCCACAAGCCTTTATTTCAATCTCCATGAAGGTGTGGAAAACTAACCTTGAAGCCAATATCTAGCCAGTTGTGCAAATATTTGTCAAAGGTGGAATTTATCAAGCAGATCCTCTGTCCCTTTTGTGTTCTGCATAGGAGTGAACCCCCAAAAGCCAATTAATCACTACAACTGGCTATGAATACCAACTCAGAAATGCGGCTCCTATCAGTTACCTCCAGCACATGTCTGTCATCAACTTCTATGGTAAAAATGGGTGAGATAATGACTCGCTGATCCACAATACCAGGGTCTACAGCAGGGATATCAGAATCTCATTCAGGCCGGACAGTGACAAGAAGAGAGCAGTTAATCCATACAGAAGGGATTGCAGGATAGCAAATGCTGAAGTGAAGTATAGGTACCTTGGAATACAACAGACAAATGGCCACAAGGAAAGCAGCAACAACAACATACTTGCAAGTAAATTAATCCCTAAAATTCAGCTCAATGGCAAGAACAAGGTCTTGGCAATCAATAGTCAAAATACAGCTATGCCTTGGCAGTAATCAGATACCTTGCTGGGGTAATTATTTGCCCAAATGAGGAAATTCAGACCACTGATGTTAAACCATGAAAGCTACCAACCGTGTATGTTGGATCTACCCCAAATCTAGTATTGACAGGCCATACATTAAGTGCAAAGAAGAAGGCAGAGGCCTTGTTAGCATCAGCGTTAAGATTAAAGATGACACAATAGAGAGCTCAATAATATGGGAGAACCCAAAGGGATAAAGCACTTAGGAAATGTCTCAGAGAATGAAAGCTGGAAAAAAAGAACTTGAGGAACCATCATAGGAGGAGAAGAGCGGCAGTGGCTTATATCATCAAATCTTACCAAAGGTTAGAAAGGCTGGACTGAAGGACAGCACATAAGGACTGGTCACGGCAGCACAGGAGCAAGCTTTGAGCACCAGAGCAAGAGAGGCCAGATCTACCACCATATCAGGAAAGATCCTATGTGCAGGACATGCAAAGAGGCCCCAGATGGACAGACCTAAGATTGCATGGGGCTTTCAGATACAAAAAGACAAAATGGTAGTGGCCAATCAACCGGACATTTCGGTCACTCATAAGTGGTGATATGTCAATTTACTGATAGGGTCTTTTTAAGATTACTCAATTAATTACAAATTACAATCACTGGATTAATCAATTTCTGAAATATTGAGGAGCTGCATCCCTACCTGGGTGTGATGGGAAAACAAACAGATTTTTCCCTTTTTACAGGAAGAAACCTCCAGCTGAACCTCTTAGCTTGGTTCTGCTGGAAGTTTCTTCCTGTTAAAAGGGAGTTTTTCCTCTCCACTGTCGCTACAAGCATGCTTGGTGTGAGGGATTGCCTTTGAGTCAGTGAGTCGATGCAATCCGCTGGTTTTTCTTAGATAAAACTTTGAACAAATCGGACTGTATAATCTGGTTGAATTGTCTCTGTAAAGTGCCTTTAGATGACAATTATTGTGAATTGGCGCTATAGAAATAAACTGAATTTAATTGAAATATCCAACTTTAACCCAAAAAAGTTGCTAAGTTAACATTAACTTCAAAGGCAAACAAACTTACATAAAAAAATGTGGCCATATTGAAGCATGCATTCTTGCTTTTTCAACCAGAAAAGCTATATAGAGGATATACAGACTTGATCAAAAATATCTTTTCACTCCAAGAGTGACTCATTCATATAAAGTCAATGTTGTTATTACTGTGATCCTTTCCTTTGTATCACATAAGATGATTTCCTTTGCTGCGGGGTCATTCTGCACACATCTCTGTGTAACTATAGTACACATAAACTACACACCAACACACTCTTCTTCTGACTCATTGGTTTCCTCATTTGAAGTTTGAGTATATATTATTAATGGCTGTTCTAGCTGCAGGCAGCGCTGATTAGGATACTTTGAATATTGTGCCTCAGATCCTCACCCTGCAGCTTACAGGTGCCCTCCACGGTGGGGAAACAGCTCCTGAATTAATCAGCCTATAATTGAATGGTTAGAGGAGCCTCGGAGTGCTCTGGTGTTGCATTAAAGAGCAGCAGCACTGCAGCAGTGAGAGGAGAGAAGAGCGGACTGAAAGCGTAAGCGAGCAAATCTGGCTCCCTCTGTTTTATAGAGGATTAGCTGCAGTGGCCAGGCATGGGGTCCCTCTTGACCTCAGATCTAGCCTCACTGTTTGACCAGCATAAGAGACAAGAATATCCCCAGCAATCAAAACATATTGAACACAAACAAATGAGTCTAAATATAAGCAAAATGTTACCTTAAAGGAAGAAATGTTTGCAAGAAGTCTGTTTCCAATGAGCAGAAACAAGGAAACAACCTCTCCAATTTGCAGGAAAAACAGGTTGTGCGAGAAATATCAACACAAGAAAAAGGAAGACATCATTGAAAGGTAAACAGCTCGCAATCAGAATAATCTGGGCAAGTTCATTTTATTGGACCAATAATAAGCTACAAAGAAAAGTGAAACAACCTGGTGACTGCTGGATCAATAATGAAAGTCAAATTCTGTGTCAATGAGGATTTAAAGACTATCCTAATGTTACTTGAAGCTCCAAGATCTTATTCTCAGCCCTATTTAACCCAAGGAAAACAGTCCCTGATGGGGCCCAGCCCAGATCTGTAAATAAGGATGTGCTCTCTGACTCACCTCTACTGGTTAAATAACCATCTGCTGACGGCTTTTTAAACACTTCCCTATAAATACACACTGACAGCCAGCTTCAACTGCATGGTGCAGGACGTTGGCTAACAACAGGCTAAATAACAACATTCGATAATACGACTAAACTAAAACACCTCAACAGTTCCAACCAACAAGGTAATCCTCCCATTAGTAAACGCCTAGGTGAGGATTTAGTTTAATCGAAGAGTATGAGAGCAAAAATCCTATTAGGGATGAGTGCCTTCAAGTTTTAATTCCACCCGGTTTGGAGGAAATCTGCTTAAGGTCATGCCACAGCTTCTCAGTTAGTTAGAAGTCCAGACTTTGACTAGGCCATTTCAAAAACATTCATTTTATTATGTGCTGAAGCTTAAGCGTACCAATTATATTTACTTTTTTGCACCTCCTCAGTTCTGCCTATTTTGAGCTTGCAGAGAATGTGTTTTAAGATTTGTCAGTTTTAAGCAAATAAGCTGTACTAAGCAGTTTATCCAAGAGATGCACGATGGTACAACCATATATCTTTGACCCTGAGTCAGAGATGGAAGCTGAAGCAGCGTCTCCTGCACAACCAGCAAGGATGCATCTAACCTTTTGTGAATGGTAACCAAGTAGCCTGTTCTTATAGGAACGTCCCTGTTATGTCATCTCAAATGCCTAAAAACATCTTTGAGTGATTGTTATGTTTTTATAAAGTGTTGATTTGTGTGACATATTTTAAGGAGGTATTTTGCTTGTTTTAGGTCTGAAGAATCTATGAAAAAAATGAGAACCTAATAGCACAAGCATTCCAATTGGATTTTCAATATAAAGTAGCAACATGTACCACAGGTAAATTTGTTCGTGATTCTGACTAATAACAGCAATGTGCTCAATTTAAGATGTGATATAAAAGTAATGTTATATTTTATTAAGAGTGTCTGGCCAAGAAAAAAAAACAAAGGTTCCACCTAGATTTAACCAAGCAAATTAGGTTGGAGCCTCATATTGGATAATTGCTGCATGGGTGATTCCTTTTAAGCAGACAACAAGTTAATTAGACCCGACTGGTGCAATGAGCTGCTTTCCATTTCTTAACCATGTCAAGTGACACATCCTGTGGTCGTGGAAAGATGCCAGTCTGTTTCAGAAGACTGGCATTTAAGGAGATTGCAAAAAGTTTTCAAATTGGGTTAAGATGTCCAGTCCATTATTAAGAACTGGAGGGATCGTGAGGACCCATCGTCTTTGAGTAAAAAATGAGGCTGGATTGTTGACCACTTCAACATTTGAAATCACATAGAAGAAAAACAGCAGTAGAACTGCAGGCTGTGTTTATCGATGAAAGGAAGTTTCCGCATGTACAACATGAAGGGAACTCAAGGGATTGGGATCACCAAACGACTAATTTGTACGGCTTTAATTTGCTAGGGAGCATAAAGATTGGACTCTGGAGCAATGGGAGAATTTGTTGGTCTGATGAGTCCAGAACGATGCACATCAGGATAAAAGGAGGGCCAGGTGAAGTGATGCACCCATGCCTAGTTCCTACTGTACAAGTCTTAAGGGGCGATGCTATTGCTCAGTTTGAATTCTGCGGCTGCGTCCTCCGAAGGTCTGATTTGTTAGCTAATTACGTCATAGCATGGCGCTGAGGCTTGTTAGGAGTAGAAGGTTTCTCGTTATGTAGCCGGCAGATGAATGCAGTCTTCTTTTTGCCCGTTTTGAAGGACGGCTCTGGTGTATCCTCCGTAGCCTTTGGTATCCCGTGATTCCACTTGGACTCCCGTGAGTCCAAGTAAGCCAGCTGCTCCGTGCTCAGAGCAAAGGGAAACAATGGATCTCTAATCATGCTTTACTTTGAATTTTGAAAAGTGAATTAAAAAGAGATACCCAATAAATAGAAAAGTTGGGACATTATTTGATCAAATAGCTATATTTTTTTAACAGCAATAAAAGGTTTGTATCTCTTTCTCATTTCCGTAGTTTCCTGCCTTCTTCATTCTGTTTTTTTAAATCTGCTAAACAGAAAAAGATTACCACTTACACCAGAATAAACAAAAATAATTTGCACAAAAAAATCAACTCTAGATGACACACACAGCAGCTAAACACAGCTTTAACCATAGATGCATTTACAGCCTGAGCCATGCAACCACAACACCATCAACCAACCCCCTCCTCAGCCCTGCCCGTCCCAGAAAACAACCCCCCCCTTCCAAGCATGAGCTGAATGACAGCTCCGACTGACAATCAGGATCTCTGATGTCCTGTATCCAGACTCAGCAAGCATAGCAACAAGCATGTGGACGATAATTTACAGCCATGCAGGGAAATGTGCATGTCTGTAAATTAAGGTAAATAAATTAATGTACAAAATCTTTTAGCGTAAAACATTTAGAGCATTTGGAATTTTTAGAATACAATAAATAAACATGCTTCATTAGTAGAGCTGAGGAAGGTTTATTAAATAGTAAATACATAAATCTAATGATTGTGCATGTAGAATAAATAAGCTTTATATACAAATGAATATGCATCATTTAAGGTGTATTTAATAGCTATGTGTTAAATTTATTTCAAAAAAATAAATGGGAATTTGTTAGATAACAGAATTATATACATTACAATTTCAGTTAAGTATTTTTATAGGTGTAAGTTAATTTACACACAGATATATGTTTTGCTTTTTTTTTATGCGAAGTATTCAATATTTTATTAGTGAAAATGATGGGGGGAGTGGCGGCCTACTGGTTAGTACGGAATAGGATTAGGGCCACTGAAAAAAATTTAAAAAGTGAACTGCTTTTTAAATTCATTTAATATGGGAAAAAGTCAGAATTCTGAGATGAAAATCAGAATTCTGACTTCTCCCCCATATTAAACTGAAATAAAATTTTAAAATCAAATCCTCTTCCGTAGGTTAGGGCAGTGCACTTGGAATCCAGAGATTCTTAGTTCAAGCCCCACTCCCACAGACTGCCACTCTGGGTCCCAGAGCAAGACCCTTAACCCCACACTGCTCCCTGGGCACCGCACAATGGCAGCCCAATGCTCCCTAAGGGGATGGGTTATGCTAAGTTAATTTAGTTGCTCTGTAATTGTGACAATGTAATGACAATAAAATGCTGGAGAAAAAAAAAGAAAACCAGGGGTTTGTGACATTTCAAACAGTTCAAATGTGATTTATGACCCATTCCCTAAAAATAACACTTAATTCCTGCTTTCTAAGATGTCCTATTTAAAAAAAAAAAAATCTTGTTTCTTTCCACCCTAAATTTGACTTTTATAAAACAAATATAGAGTGGATATATATATATATAAATATACATACATACATATATATATATACATACATACATATATATATATATATATACATAAATAAAGACTGGAAAAAAACATTGCATGTAGTTTGCCAAGAAGACAAGCCCAAAATGGAAAGTTCATATTTCAAGATGTTTCTTTCCACACAGAAACTGCTGTATCATAAATGCTCTCCAAGCTTTTAACAAACTCTTTTAAAGTCAAATGCAAATCAAACCTTTTAAGCTCTTTGCTGAAATCTCAGGAAAGTTGTGTGGGAAAGCCATTCACCTCAATTCCTGTGCCTCTGATGATGTCATCAATCAAAAACACAAACAAAGCAGCATTTGCAACTTATTACCCCTCATTGTGCTTTTTATAAACTTTATATTTAATGAATTCCTGCTCCTCTGCTTTATATTTTATTAAATAGAAGGAAAAAAACAGACTATAGATTCTTTATTTTAAAGAAATGCACTAAACAGATGCAAACATGAGAAAAGTGACGTTTGGAGAGCTTATGCTTTTAGGAATGTGTGTCTGCTGACAGCAGCAGCCACATTTCAGCACCTGCATGCTGCACCACTGTAGGATTACCGGGTTATTTTTAGGACTCAGCTGCCAAAATAACACATCCCCGACTGCCTGCATGCCTGCACGCTTTAGAGCCAAGAATCTGCATTAAAAAAAAATAAAAATAAAATAAAAAAGGACATTGATCTGATCTGTAACCTGAAAGCTCCCCAGCAACAACACACAGTCTGACACACACCTACTACAGGCTGACAGCCCGGGCTGCCTCCTGCATTCACCTCCGACTCTCTCTGCCGATCCTGGAACATCTCCTCCCCCTTCTCCCCCCTCTGTCTGCAGCAGTTCTCGTTAAGGTTATTAATGATCGGTACCTCCATGTCCTCCGGCTGCATGTTTCCTCGCTGCGGCGCCGATCAGTGCATAGCCCCGGTCCGGCGGAGAGAGGAGAGCGCACCGCGTCTGAAGGAGCAAGTTGAAGATCTAACCTCCTCCTCTCTGTTTCTTCTGCTGCAGATCCTGTTCCCCCCTAATAAATCTGTTTGATTCGCTGTCCCCGCTTGTCCCGAGAGGGCGGGGTTAGAGCCAGACGGCAGAGTGAGGGGCACAGAGCTGACCCCCATTAATATGACAGGACCTACAAGGTAAAATGACCAGGGGCGGAGCTAGATGGGGGGTTAGGGGGGCCATGGCCACCCCTATTATTTATTTCTCTCTAATACAGATGGTGGTAACAGTAATAATCTCAAGTGGAATATTCAAAACATTTTAATTTTTCATATATTAACAATTACTTGACAACAAAAATGCACATCAATATACTAACCTAAAAAATCAAGTACAAAATTCAAGTAGAAATAGATTTTGTGTTTTATGGGGTAAAGAGAAAAGTCATCTAGGTGTCTTCAGTAAAATCATAGATAAATAAGTATTTTCATAAAAACTTATTAAATAATCAATTTATGTAGATATTAGTGCTTGTAAATATCAATTTTATGCTGAAGGATTATTGATAAAAGTAGGTAAGTAATGACAATGGAAAAGATGTTCACCCAAAGCTCAAATCTGAAAGAAATTTATCCACTATACCTTTTATCTAGAAAGCATGGATGTTTAAATATATTCCTCTATTTGTTAGCAAAGGCTGTGGGAAAGTATAATTTGTCTTTATTTAGAAAATATGGATGTTTTGGTGCCTATCTACTTTCGGCCACCTACATTGGTTATTGCCAGGCCACCCTCATAAAATGTTCTGGCTACGCCTCTGAAAATTACTAATCCTGCAAAAGACCTCGGTAATTTACTTTATGTGGATTTTATACCTGAGGATCTCCAGGATCTGTACTGTACGCCTCCAGGACTCTTAGGCGTGCAGTGAAGATTGTGGCTGATCCCTCGCACCCTGCCGCTCCATCAGGACCAAAACCTCACACCCAGAGGCATAGCAAGAAATTTTTTACAAGGGTGGCCTGGCAATAACCAATGTACACTGAGGGGTGGCCAAAAGCGGATAGGCGCCATAACCTCAGAGTCAATATACACTGTTCCAACAGGAAAATTAATGAGCACAACATCCATATTTTCTAAATAAAGACTAACTATACTTTCCTATAGTCTTTGCTAACAAATAGACGAATATATTTAAACATCCGTAATTTCTAGATAAAAGGTATAGTGGATAAAACTCTTTCAGTTTTGAGTTCTGGGGTTTAAATCAATCATCGTCATTACCTAATAAACATTCTGCATAAAATTAATATTTATAAGCACTAATATCCACATAAATTGATGAAGTTTTTATTAAAATTATTTATCTTTGATTTTTCACTGAAGACTCCTAGATGACTTGCAGAGACATAATTTTCTCTTTACCCCATTAAAAACACCAAATCTAGTTGTCAAGGGAGCAGGAATTCTGTACTTATCTTTGATGTTAGTATTTTGATGTGTATAATTAACCACAAAAAAATAAAATGTTTTGAGTATTCCACTTGAGAGTATTACTGTTGCCACCCTCTTGAGAAAGAAAAAAAAGGTGGATTGGCTAAGGGTGGCCATGGCCATCCCTGGCCCCACATCTAGATCTGCCCCCTGCTAACGCCCAGTACTGCTAACCCAGTTGAGAGGGAATGGCATCCCTCTTCTTAAAAACATTTTAAAAATAAAGATCAATAAAGATAAAGATCTTAAAAGAACAATGTATTTAAATATTTTATTTTTTTACACTACGACTTGGTGGGGTGTGGTTCGATAAAAACATTTGTTTTTATTTCAAATTAAAACTTTAAATGCCTTGTTTTGAATATTATATCTATTGTTTACAAGATGCTGCTTGTTGAAAAGGTTTTAAAAAAACAGCATTTGGAAGATGCATTTTCTTAAAATTTAAAGAAACATTGCATTTTCAAAAAATTTGATTTTGCTTTTAAATGTGAACATGTATAGCTGTCTAAGTCATGGGTGACCAGCTTTTAAGACTGAGGGCTGCTTCATCGGTACAGAGTGAGGATGGGCTACCAGTACCATTAACTGGAAGGGTCAGCATGCACCTTAACTTCATAGATAAAAAATATTTCTATCGTTTCTTTCATTTCTAATTTGCTTTTAGATACTGTCATTTTGAAATCCCTATAAATGCTTTAAACTTCTAAATTATTGATATGATAAAATGCTCTGTAAATGATATAAAATAAGAGCAGCATCAAAAATTTCAAACTAGTGAGTTGTTTTCAGAAGATGCTGAGAGCACCCCATATGTTCCTTTTTCTGTTTTTCATCTACGTTTTGTTAACCTTTTCCTTTCGACCTTAAAAAATGTATTTTATTTTTCTATAACTGACATATCTATGTTTTTCTAAAAGGTTGGATTTTTGGAAAAACAGCATCAAACTTGCTCTCATTTACGCATTTATACAGAGATTAAATCAAGACAGTCGGTGGCTTTTGATTTTATTTCTGAGCATAAATGGGGATAAATTATAATGCATTCCATTTTAATGGTAAGTATAATTCCATTAAGGTCGCCTAAAGGCTGTAGTTAAGTGAAAAACGGGGGAAACACTTTGAAAGAAACCATCTACCATAAAATAAATTCATTTTTTGACATCTTTGCAGAATAAATTTCCTTAATTTCTGTCATCCTAATTAAATGGCAGTTTTATACCAAGGATTCAGACTGGAGTCGTGTCTCAGCTCTGGAGAGCCCAGAGACGGCGCCGTCTGACCACTGCTGGCTCCGATGAGCTCACCATGCCACAGACCACCAGGAAAAAACACACCACACAGCAAAGATGTTCAACTTTTTACATTTTTATTCATTAATATTACAGATTATTGCTCATCTTCTAACATGATCACTTCAGATTTTTTTTTTTTTTTTTTTTTTTTTTTAAGAACTTAAAAGCATGACTGAGAATTTAGCCAGTTAGGACTTTGTGAGGATTTACATCAATAAATACAGGAGACTTCTTTAAACCTTCCTAAACACCTACAGGTTTTCAGGTCTGTATATAGTTTGTTTATACATAAACAATGCTGGTGTGTTCCCTCATCCAGTTTACCACTGATTAAACAGTTCTCCTCTCCAACCCGCGGGTTAGGATTCTGAGGCAGCTGTTAAAAAGTAACTACGGCCTGCAAGGTAAAAAGTAACAACACATATGGACGCACACATACACACACGTGTCATTCATAAGCACCCATTCACAGAATAAACAAAGGAAAAAAAAATAGGCCTTAAGACAATGGGTCACACAATCCAGTGTGGAGATTCCACAGCACAAGGAGACAAGGACGCACAGACACCGAGTGCCACAGAATGGGGGTGGGTTGTTTATAAGGTTGCATCATAGACTTTTCTGTTTGGTTAATATACATTTATTCTTTTGTCTCACTATTCAACATTTAGTTTTCGATGAAAGGTGGGGAAAAAAACAGTTGAAAAGCTACCATTCACAAGAAACAACCCTCCTTAAGTTGGGAAAAAAAATAAGCTGATGTGCATGACAGAGCGAGATGTTTCCATATGATGAGCTGCTGTATATTGAGACACCCTCATGGTGTTGGCACCCCGGTAAAGACTTCTGCAAAACCTTAAAGACGTGCAGACGTGAAAGCAAATCTGTGTTTTCATCTAAAGGTAAACTAAGCATATAACACTCTTCAGTGCTGAAGTTGTTACTGAAGGAAGGAGGATGAAAATTTGGTGTTTTGATCAGTGTAGTGAAATAAGCTACTTCGAATGAGGCTCTATGTCTTAAGACGCATTGAGACGAGTCTGCGATTCATTCAGCCTGTGAGAGCAAGACTTAAAGCAGATAACAGGAAGGCTAAACCAAGTGAGGCAACTTTGCCATTTTATCCGTTTAAGTTGCCAATCTAGATCCTAGATTGTTTTACTTTTTGGGACATTTTAGAGTTAAGTTAGCCACTGACGGTGTTTATCACGATGATATTTGACTAACTTAGGATGCTAAAGGTGAATGCCAATCTCATCTGTGTTTAGAGATGTAAAAGGGTAATAATGCATGTTTCAGTAGAGTTGCATGACTCCACCTCTGCTTTTAATACAAACATAATAAACATTTACTAAATAATGTCATTGTGGAGATGCCTCAAAGTCTGGCTGATACTTAAGAAGCCATCCAGCCTGATTGATTTTTGTTGGGCCGATCAGAAACTCAACATTCCAATAATTTTACTTATACCTAAAAGCATCATACTATTATTACAATTTAACACTGAACACACTCGTTAGTGCTCAAGTTTCACCAAGGGAAGACTATTTTTTTTAAGAGTTTCTTTAAAATAAAGTTTAGAGGACGTCAAAAAGAAAGTAAAAGAAGATATTTAGAGAAATGGCTGCTGTTCTTTATGGCTACAGGAGAGGGTAAGAATTACAGTGGATAACAGGAAGGTTGAATCTGTTAAAGCTTTAATTCTGTGTACATTTTTTTAGTTTTAGTGATGCTAGCCATGCTAATCCTGAGGCCAGTTTAAAATGTCACCCTGTAATATCTTGTTTTCTACAATGACAACCGTAAAGCCATGTTTTACAATGATAACCCCACTATTAATGCTAATAAAAACAACTCTTAAGTGGAAATCTTGGAAATTGTTCTTCCATCTCTTAAGCTAGAAAAAACAGGATGGCTGTTTACCCATCCTTTCAATTTTAAGACTTACATAAAGGGGCAGCCATTTCTTATATTTATACACCAAGAAAACATGAAGCAGTTTGTTTAAGGATTAAGATACTAATAAAAAAGAATGCTTAAGTTTATGTTTTAACAGGACTATTATAGAGATAAAAGAAATTCATTCTATTGGTTGCAGCTTTACCAGAGGTGCCAAAATTCAGGAGAATGTGATTTTATTTTAAAGCATTGTGACATTAGTTTGGGTTTCCCGCTGGTGGAGCAGTGAGGATGTCAATAGATAGAATAGATGTAGGGTGCAGATAGGATGTTAAGCACCTGCAGGTTATTACTCTACATCAGAAAAAAACAACAACAGAAAAGCCCTTCAACAGCAGCAGGAAAATCATTGCAAAGTCCGATCTACAAACATGGAGATAAATGTGCTTCTTTGATTCGCCTCGACACAATCATGAGTCAGAAAGTCGATTTACAAGCCGAGTAATTTACACCTTTTAGTACCGTTAACCTGTTGTTTTTGGGTATGGCATGTATGATTAAAAAAAGCACCATACTTTCCAGCGAGTACCTGCTATAGATTGCTTCAGGCTGTGTAAATACTCTGTCACAGTATTCAGACTGAGGGTTTGAGTACATTTATTACAGATTATTAGAACATTTAACTGCTTTTCTGTGCGGCGTGACGAGTGAGTCAAAAAGGAAGAAATTAGATGGAAAGATAGAAAAATCTTAAATTCTATTATAAATATCTAAATATACAGTATAACTTTGTAATGATTTGATAATCTGCCATGCTTCTATTTCAGTATAGTCATTCTTGTTAAAGAAAATAAAAACAAAGTGGTTAAATACTTTTAGTGACTTGAACACTGGTGTGTTTGAGCAGCTGGAGACTAACGAGCAGCCAATGAGATGCTTTCACTGTGGGTTTAAGAAACGGGTGAGAAGGAAGTCGACATCCAGTCATATTCAGACCAACAGATGGGTGGAAAAAAAGCATTAAAATACAAGATATGATTAGAACCTGAGACCCTCCCACAAGATCTACAGCCCACCCTTTATGGAAAAGAAATTAAAGGTAGAAAAAGAAAGATGGAAAGAAAAAAAAAACAGCAAAAAAAGGGAAAAATTGTCCACGACTTAATCTTCATTTGCACATTTGTTTAAAAAAAAAAAAAATGTACGTTTTGCGTACAGTCTATATTTCATTTTTTATAAAGAATCAAAATTCTGGCAGCGTGGAGGGAGGACAGAGGATTAGCGAACAACTCCACACACAAACGAGCATCTAAAGAGAGAGATGGTGACAAGATGAGTGGAAATGTAAGAAACCACTCTTGTTCAAGGAGGAGTTCTGACCAAGAGTGGCTCCAGAGTAGTTATTATTTTATCGACAGGATTATTACTGTGGTCAGGTGGTAGTGAAATAAACACATGCCATGATGGTGGGAAAAGCTGTTTAATGTCCGGCCCTCTTTCCCTCCGTCCTCCTCTTCCTCCGGCATGAGTCTGTGCGATTCATGAACTGATATTTCCTCAGTCGACTTGAGGGTGATTTAATACCTGAAGAAAACAGAAGCACAGGCGTTAAACTCAAACCAGGAAGTGAGCGGAAGCCAGAGAGTAACTTGTCCCCACTCTGCTTTGTTACAACTACAAACTTCTACTTACTTAACTGGGATTTTACATGACAGATCAACACAAAGCAGCAGAATATTTGGTCTTAACACCCACCTAATTTTAAGTAATCGTCCCCTTTACGCATACCCAAATATAAAAGGAAAATACTAAGAAATCGTAAGCCCAGATTACATGTGTGAAAACAGTGTGACTAAAACACAGCCTAAACTGCAGCAGGTAAAGCATGACTCAGTTGTTTTTTTTCTTCTTGAAAATAATAGGTCTTTCTTGAATAGCAGTTACAAAGACATGCTTGACATTAGGCACATTTCATTGTATTACATTCATTATGCATTATGTCAACTACAACTGCAGAAAATGTCAGACCTATTGGTATAACAGTTCCAGAGCAATGGGATTTTAAACTTCTGGTGTCACCAGCGTCTTCAAACCTCTACAAATGTGCCAAATTATTCCAAATTGTGCTGATTGCTTTTATACAACAATCTTACACACAAAAGAATAATAAAGAAAAAAAATCCCACAGAAACATTTTAATGTATAACATGTCTATATTGGTAAAAGTTTAACTTTATTTTCAAGCGACTGCTGTGTTTAAAATAAATATGTACGACAGAGCAGTGGTGATTGGGTGGATGTTAAGAGGCTAAAATATCCGATTAGTCTAAATAACATTTAGATCGGTTGCAGCTGTGTTCTTACCTATAGTAATTTGGCTTAAAGGGCCCGTTCTTGTTCAAGCCCAGGTACTTGGCCTGCTCATCACTCAGCTCTGTGAGATGTGCATCAAATGTTGGGAGATGTAGGCTGGCCACATACTCATCTGAGTAAAAGGAGAAACAGAGATCATGGCAACATTTTCCAGGAAAAGAATCATGGAAGTTTTTTCATTTAACTTGTGATAATGACTTGCAGACACACATAATGGTAAATATGCAGTATAATTCAGCTGTTAATGATTGGTTATCCAGGAAGCTGACTCTAAGCACATGAGGACAACCGGCTGACTGAAGAGATGAATGCATCCTGCCCTGCAGGCCTTCTCACTTCCTCCTCCTGTGCTTGGTAGCTACTGATGTAGCTGCTCCATTAGCTCTTCTGTTTGTGCATCAAACTGAAGCAATTCTTACCCATTTTCTTGGGCAGCAGATAAACATCCTGCTTGTATCGTCCCTCTGGGGCATTGTAGAGCTCTATCAGGGCCAGAGCCTGGAAACAGACCAACGAGAATCACTCAACTTCTCGTTACCACCGGCTTCACTGAATACAGGAAGAGAGGGCTAAATGGCAGCAGCGTACCTGGGTTGTGGCGGTGATTGAGAGGACGAAGGTTGGAACCGTGGAGCAGCTGAGGTTCAGCAGACGGCCCTGGAAAGAATGTAGGAAAACATTCATTTTCCTCAAATAAACTGCAGTTGGATACATGGAGGAAAGCAGACTCTGAGTTTATTCTTACATTATTGTGAAACAAATAATTTCTCTTGTTTTATGCTAATGATGTAAACCACCGGTAAAACCAAAGAGATGAGGGGTTAGGTGCAGTGGTGACTTACCCGTACTAGTTGGTGTCAAAAATCAACCAATAATTGACTCTCTGCCTGAAGCTGCTTTTAAGAACAAAATATTTCTGTGAATTCATCCATAAATCTGAGTTTGCATTCAGCAATCAGCTCCATGCTGTCTGGATGACCTTGTTAATCAGTCCATCAGACTCTGAGGGTGTCATTAATATTACCTCCCTGCAGCTATCAAATATATTTATATGTGGATCTATTATGTTTGTATTCGGGCTTATAAACAGTCGAATACGAGGCACGGCTCTGATGTATAAAGGAAATTTACTTGCTTTTTGGCTGCATGTTGTTTAACAATAAATCAGAATTTTTTTTTTGCTGTATGCCAAAATGGCGTACAAACTTTTAGTATACAATAATACCTCAGATCTACTGTCTGTTATTCTAAAAGTCCCCTGATTAAGGTGCCTGTCGTGCTGTTTAGTAAAGCTCGATCTGAAACAAAAATGTAATCTAGTTTATTCGTCTCCAGCCTGCAGTAAAGCACCTCAGCCAGCAGGACTATCCTCTTGCCATCAGGCCAGATGACGTGGTCCACCTGTGAGCGCACTCTCTCCCAGGTTAGCTCAGGGGTCCGCAGGCTGGCCTGTAACACAAACCAAAGCTTCAGTTAATCCAGCCTCTTTCTATGGAATATTATCTTTAGGAAAAAGAATCAGCGAAGTGACTCAAAACATCCTCTAGCGTGTAAACTATTTCCAGCTTAGTGCTTTTTTCCAGATCAGTCCCATAAACAGGGTGTTAGAGGAAGTTACTAAGAGCTGCAAACTGACCACATCTATCTCCGTGTTAGAGTGCCCCATGTTGCAGACAATGCAGCCGTTCTTCATGCGGTCCAGGTGCTCCCTCACTACCACGTTCTTATTGCCTGGTAAAGAAGAAGAGGTGGATTAAATGTGAAACAGGCTGCAGGGTCAGAGCAAATTCCTTCAAAAGGAAGAAAATGAGGACAATTCCGCTCATCTGAGGTCAGAGAAAGAAAGCTTAGTCTGTATGGATGATGATGTAATTACTTATCGTAGAGTATGAGCAAAGTTAATTAGGTCTGGAAATAGAGTTTAGCTCGAGCCTTTTGCTCAGCATGTCTAAAGAATCTTAAGCATTTTTTTCTCCCCACAAGTTTTTATTAAAAACTAAACATTTCTATCTTGGATGCAAGAATTAAATTCTTAATTAGAGAAAGAAGCTTTTAAATTAAACAAGGGCTGCAACTAACAATTATTATGCAAATCGATTAATCAATTAAAAATCTGAAAGCCAAAGGTTCCACAAAGAAGATTTGTTTTTACTGAATTAAACCAGGTGAAACCAACACTTTTCCAATTGACGAGTTCTGGATAGAGCAGGGATGAAATATATATATATATATATATATATATATATATATATATATATATAAATATATATATATATATATATA